CTGTTTGTTAGATGCTGGGCTGATCTGATCTGAGTGTTTTGGAAGCTGGCTGTTAGAAAGTGCCTAACTTAACAACGGTGGTGATTCCCTTAAAGACTGTTGGCAGAAAGGTTGTAAAACGGAGCAAAAGGTCACTTTACAACTGTCTTGCTTAGCAACCGGAAAGTGAGGCTTAATTGTGGTCGTAAGGCAAGGACTACCGGTATTAAAATGGCCAACTTTCTTGCCATGTTGGATTTCATTACGCAGGAGGCCGTTGGGGTTTTCGAATAATGCACCAGGGCACTGAAACATGGGTTAAAAATTGAATGAAAATTGAATGAAAAGGCATAGAACTGAAGGAACCGTTCTTGGGAGGTGAGGACCGCTCCCCAAAAGAGATCCACGGGGCTCCCCACTCACCGTACATCTCATCTTCCAGGCCGTGGACGAAAGCTCCGCAGGCTCCCGATTCAATGAGGTTCACGGCTCCCGTGTCTACTTCTTCTTTCGGGGCGTCGTCCCCCCATTTCCTGCCACTGGAGAACTCGCCGGAACTGTACAGCTCTTTAGCCCGTTCGTGAGCGGTGCGTTTGCGCTGTAGAGACCAAACCGTCAAGGGAAGTCGTATATATTCTTGTTTCCGGGAATATAAGACCTAGCATGGTTTTTACACATGCACCTAATATAAGCCCTACGCCACCCCCCAAAATAAGCCCTAAGCCCCACTTAAGAGCCTGGCTGCCTGTCTGGTTGCTTGCTGTGCCACTGCTGGAGCTGCGCCAGGCACCCTGCAACGGCTTCCCTCAAGGCCACCGCAGCCAGGCCAGTAGAGCAGGGGTAGGGTAGAGTCGAGTAGGCGTAGAGTAGAGGTAAAGTAGGGTTAAGCAGAGCAGAGTAGAACAGAGTAGGGATAGAGAAGGGATAGGATAGAGTAGAGTACAGTAAGAGTAGAGTAGAGTAGAGATAGAGCAGGGGTGAGCAGAGTAGAATACAATAGAGATAGAGCAGGGATAGGGTAGAGTAGAGTTGGAGTTAGAGTATAGAGTAGAGATAGAGCAGGGGTGAGCAGAGTAGAATACAATAGAGTATTGTAAATGAGAGCAGAGCAGAGATAGAGATAGAGCAGGGGTGAGCAGAGTAGAATACAATAGAGATAGAGCAGGGATAGGGTAGAGTAGAGTTGGAGTTAGAGTATAGAGTAGAGATAGAGCAGGGGGGAGCAGAGTAGAATACAATAGAGATAGAGCAGGGATAGGGTAGAGTAGAGTTGGAGTTAGAGTATAGAGTAGAGATAGAGCAGGGGTGAGCAGAGCAGAGTAGAGTAGAGTATTGTAAATGAGAGCAGAGCAGAGATAGAGATAGAGCAGGGGTGAGCAGAGCAGAGTAGAGTAGAGTATTGTA